GAGTTTTGTTAATTGTATGTAGTCATCGATTACACAGGTCTGCAAAAAAAACTTTTGAAAAATTGTTTTGATTTCGTTAAGTGATTTTTATGTAGTTTTTTGCGCTGATTTATAAAATGACATTTGCTTTTATCTATCATGTAAGGTTTGCCCACAAAATTAGGATGACACAATTGAAAAAGTACAAAAAACAAGAAATTGTGGATTTATTTTTATTATTTTAACAGGAAGTAAAAGCAAAGAAAACAATGCTACATAGCTGAGCTAAGCAGAATAGTGATACACAAGTGTTTGCAAAGTAATTATAAGTCTTTGTAAAAACGTTTTCTTTTTCCGTCAAAGCTTCTTTTGGTACATTTTGGGCTGTATTCTTGTGAATTTTCACTTTTTAACATCCAATAGTAGTCTGCCATCATGTTAACATTTTACCGACCTTGGTATCTGCGTTCCATTTCTTTTATACTTTGATGGAACTGTTCTCCTTGTTCCTCACTTACATCCCCTAGATTTTCGGGAAAGTAGTCCAGATGTGAGTGAAGGAAATGGACTTTGACACTCATGTTGCAGCCCATCATTTTGTAGTTTTGTATCAATTCAGCAACCAAAGTTTTGTGGTTTGGGTCTTTTTTGTTTCCAAGAAAGCCTGTTATGACAAGTTTAAATGAATTCAAGGCAGTTTTTTCTTTCATTTCCATTTTATCGACAAAGCTTTCATCTTTTAAAAGTTTTCTTATGTCAGGCCCAACGAATACTCCTTCTTTCAGTTTAGCATCGGATAGACCAGGAAACTTTTCAGAAATATACTTGAAACAATCTCCTTCTTTGTCTAATGCTTTCACAAACTGTTTCATTAGCCCCAATTTGATATGGAGTGGTGGAAGTAAGATTTTTTTAGGATCCACTAAACTTTGTATTTCAACATTTCCAACTCCAGGAATAAGACCCTTTTTTATTGACCATACCTGCTTGACATAGTGTTGTTTTCTGTCAGGGTTATCCCATTCACATTGGAAACATGAAAACTTAGGGTAACCACTTTGTTGACCTAGTAACATTGAAATAACTTTCAAGTCTCCATTTCAAGTCTTCATCGTAGATCTGTGTCATTTCTCTACTGAGACCATTGACATGCCCAAAGAAGCTATTGTTTAGCGAAACACGTGTTGCGTTTTTGTGAAACTGTTTAATGAAAATCTCACAATAAAGTGTTTCTTGAATGTATAAAATCTCTTCATCACGCATATTTACATACTTGACCTACTATATGAAATCATGTGAATTAACAACACCAAAACTCAATTGTGAGAATTGTGAGAGATTTTACCCACTGTCCAAGAACTGAGATTGTAATTGTTTTTCGAATTATAGTTATCTCATCAGCCTTTAACTAATTTAGTGAGGTAACAACAACTATTGTATGTAAGAATTGTAGACCAGTATGTCTACTATTACTATCGATAAAGCTACGGTGTTGCGAAACACGTCTAGAATAAAAATTTTATTTGTGGAAATTGATTAATTATGGTGGACAGTTAGCCATTCAACAATTTCATGAGCAGGGGAATTTATGGCGGAGACAATTGGTCGCACATACTTTCCAGGCTTGAGAATATTTGGTAGACCATATATTTAAGAAAATCGAAACCTGTAGATTCCTGTTCAAAGCCGGTGGGATCAAGTTTTGACTTCTGAAACCATCTTACAAATTCAGTATATTGGGGCTTTGTTTTCATATTAGTTCAATTTTGATTGTATACGTTTTTCTAGACCTACGTATTATACGTGATCAAATATAATATATATTCGAATGGGTAGGGTGAAAATAATACTTCATCATTCATACTAACGTTTAATGCTAACAGTTGTTGCACACAATGTGTCATTTTCTGAGCGAGTTATGAACTAACCTATCTCAATTTTTTCAATTCAATTCAATCCAATTCAATTCGATTCGATTCGATTCGATTCGATTCATTTCAATTCAATTCAATTCAATTCATTTCAATTCAATTCAATTCAATTCAATTCAATTCAATTCAATTCAATTCAATTCAATTCAATTCAATTCAATTCAATTCAATTCAATTCAATTCAATTCAATTCAATTCAATTCAATTCAATTCAATTCAATTCAATTCAATTCAATTCAATTCAATTCAATTCAATTCAATTCAATTNAAAGGCCTTCGCCTTTGGAATTTTTAATAAACCCAAATATTCTATCGTTAATAATGTTATTTTTCTCAAAAAATGAAATAAGTCTTTTTTTTGAGAAATTGTTCAAATAGTTTTGCAAAATTATCAATTTGATATATTATTTTGTAATTATGTAGTAAACTAGGGTAACCTGATTTGAAACAGTATAGTTTCCTTCGTTTGAGTGTATTTCACAAAGGGTTTGATATATGTAAATGCATGGTAGTGCCATTATTTTCATGTCAGTAAACATTATCAATGTTTGGATAATTATAAATATCTATCTGATTATTCAGAACAATATTGTTTTTATTAGCAAGATGTTTTTTGATTTCTATGTTTTTCAGTATGTTCAATTTCAGACTCTTCATTTCCAAATTTTGTGTGGAATTTCGAGTGTTTTCTGTGAGATCATTGGAGAAGTTGGAATCTTATTTATCCAGAAGAAAGATGTCTTGGGTAACAGCATGAATTTTTTCTTGAACAACAATTGTTTTCTTGTCGACTTTTCGAATTTAATCAAATTCTTCTCCAGGGCTCGAAAAGTAGTTTTATCGTGTTACGCATTGGTCCTTCTTTGGTTGAAAAAACGCAATATTGAATTCCCGATTGAAAATATCGTTGAACATCATGTAGTTAACGAAAGGTAAATGATTTTCCTCTTGAATTTGCTCATAATCATTGTACAAATCTGTTATTGTTTTCCCCCCTTCTATATACTCCTTAGAAGTTGTTGATCGACAGTAATGACTTTCTATAACACAAAACGGAAGAGCAGCAAAGTATGTAATTGCATATGGAACTATTTTGTCCAGAAAATAATATGTAAATATATTCTCACATTTCCATAATAAAGAGTTTTAAGCAACGTTTACATTTGGCAAGTTTACTGGCGGAAAGTACTTGCCGCCACTAAACTTGTCATGTGTAAACCGCGAGAAAGTGCACTTGCTACTTGCTCGGACTTGCCGGCAAGCACTTTCCAAAAGTTGACGGACCGGCTAGTTTACTCTCCGCTCGCCGAATCTTCGTTTGTACTTTCCATGTGTAAACAGATCCGTNTCGATCACCACAGAATATTCAATATATCATACTACCTTTCAATACAGAAAATTGAAAATTCAGTACACATGCACTAAACTGTATGAAATATTATACCACAATGCCATTTCCGTACTCTGATGTCGGATTAGGAAATTCATCAATTTTTCATGTATTTTTTTCACCTGTTATTTTTTTTTTGTAGGCAGCCTCAGTCTACGACAGAAAGATATATCGATGACAATTTGTCAAGCAAAATGTCATTGGCAAATGAAATTTTGCGGTATATTGAAAATGAAACAGCATCTGCTAGTGGATTTTTTTTTTGGAAAAAATAAAAAAATCAATAAAAATTTGAGACGATGTACTTGCAAATAATATTGCTGACTGCGGTAGTGTTGATATTATCTTCTGCACAATAATATTTTAGTTGAAGCGTCCGAATCGAGCCACACGTGCACGAGCCTAACCATATTTTTTACACTTATTTTCACCGCTCAACTGAAACTATGAATATTGCTGCTACAGCTCCGCAAGGAGAAAATTGTTTCAGTAAATTTTCTGATTTTTGAGGATATTTTTTCTTAACTGTGAATCGAATGAATGATACCCCAATCATAAATTTCGATGAAGAACTGAAGATCATTAGTTGATTAAGTATAATACGTAATGCGAAATGCATTTCTCATTGATACATGAAAGAGCAACAGTAATATAGACAATTATACCGGGTGTGAAGTCAATTTAGACGACACCATTCAGGTGTATGTATGTATGAGGTACGGAATTTGAAATTCGAAATGACGGCATCGAAGACAGTAATAAATAACATTTGTAGCCATTTCCATTCAAGATGTTGGCGTGGGACCCATTTTGTTCAAATTCAATATGGTGGCACTATGGCGCAATCTATAGAAATATTGTCAAACAACTCGACGTAGAGAAAAAGGAATGACGGAATTTGCTCAGTTTTTGGATAAAAATTCAAAAACTCAAATAATTCACCAATCCACTTATTTTTTCTTGATTCTCAAATGCCATTCATTTATCTAGAAAATCTCTTATTAGATGTGATATTTTTCAAGCTTTGACTTCGGAGTCGCCATAAGAAAATGTCGATGACACTATGCTGTTCATTTTTTCTGTCAGTGAAGAAGTGAAAGTGTCAAAGCTGCTCTATGTGAGTTTATTAGCTATTCACCTACTTACTTCTTCACAATTTTAAATTTTTGTTATTCATTAGAAATCTGATGGGCAAATACGTCCTTTGTTTATTCCTTCCTGTAGTTGCTGTGAAATATTTCTATGAATGATGTCATAGTGCCGCCATATTAAATTTGGGGGAAATGACTCCTTCGCAGCTATTTTAAAAAGAAGTAGTCACCAATCGGACGGTCAAAAAAATTTACTGTGTTTCATTTAAATTCTTGACTTGGGTTCATTTCCGTTTAACCCTGCATAAGTTTTTTAGTAGTTTAGCATTAAAAATATCAAATTCATTGAACTCCATGTTGATTCCGCATTTCAAATTTCTTACCTCATAAACAACTGAATAGCGCTGTATACAATGATTTCGATGTCACTCGACACAGTGTTTTTCAGAAATGATGATAACTAACAGTCGTACTTCCTGTTAGAAACTGTTGATACAATTTTTCGATTCTAAGTCATTATATACAGTCAATTTTCTCTTATTTGAAAACTTTAGATGTGATACCGATCGATCCTTATTGCGTGTATCAAAAATTAAAAATCTGTAATTCTACTCACAATTTTCCTTACCTTTTAGGGCAGACGGATTTTTTTGTCTTGGCGATGATAATTACGGGTGTAAATAGTGGTGAGTATTTTAAATGTCATTTTATTTCATTCATTCAATCACAATATGGCATATCGAACAAGGAACTATTCGTAGAAATAAAAATTGTAACATAATAATCATGATTGAATATACCATGGAAAAAGGTGTTTATCAACAGTCTCATATCTTTGGAACGGCAGGAAGTATCTAAAATTTCATATTACCATATGGAGAGTTGTAGGTACACAAGAGTTACATATATTTTAAACGAAAAAATAAATAAAAAGCATAATAATGATGTGGAATGAATCTCACCAAATATATGAAAAACAACTCAAAATACTCAATATTTCATAAGTTGAGGAAGAATTTGAGAAAACTGCTTCAGAATTTATGTATACAATTCAAAATGTCAATAATTACTAAGAAAAGTCAATGACGGAGGCAATATCGAAAAAAAAAGGTAAATACTTCATAATACCTATCTGGGAGAGAGGAGACTACCGGAAATTTATTAAATTACAATTTTATTGATGAACCCAATGAATTGTATAAAGATCTGGGAATGAACGCAGCTTAGAAAAATAATATTTTGTTGAAAGTGATGATTGATATACCCGGGAAGGCGATATTAACTTTTCTCAAATAAAAAGATCACTCTTCGTTTGATGGGTCTTTCATAATTCTATCCAATACTGGTTACCTACATTCTTGAGTGATCAGCAGTTTTCTATTCGTTTCAAAATTCCGCAAGCAAGTGATGAATATGATTTCAATGAAAATTGTTTCCACACTTATTTCAGTTTGGAACGCGAAAAATTAAAATTTTGTTGTTTAGAAATATGAAAGTAACCAACATGCAACTAATGCTAGTTGCTCGATTGGTATTGTACAAAAAAACAAAGTTTGAGTTTAAAAAAATTGATATTCAGTCAAGTGGTATTCATAAGGATTGTTTTCTGATATATTCTCGTAATTTTCAAATAATTTCATTGTTGCTTTGATAGGAGACTGCAAAGCCAGCACCCGAGTGACGGAGCTGAATGCATTAACTGTATGTCAAGTATTCCTTTCGACTTTAAGGAGATTGCTTCTATCCAGGATGATGTTTTGATTCGAATTGGAAATACGTTTCGATTGGGATATTAAGAATTCTGAATATCATTTACAAATGTTTGATATTCGAGGTGGTGTCTGAATTGTTGTTTTATTTTCGTGAGGTTATGTGAATCAGTGGAGTGTAGCAATTCGATTTCATCACGGTCTTTTGTATCTGTTCAATGTATTGGTGAGTTTTATTTGATTTTCATATCCATTTGAGATGTCCTAGTGGAGTTAAGATCTAGTCACTGTCATAATCATGATATCAAATAAAACCTTTTCAGTCACAATGTAATTTGAATATTTGATTCCATTACTTCAATTTGGTTAGGATAGTGATTTGGAATTGTGAGAATGATACCCTGAGAGTCACGTATGATTCAAGAATAATGACAACTAGATGTTAGTTTTATTTATGTCAGATTTATCGCTATTAGAAGAAGTGTTTTATCGCTGAAACATTCTGTTTTGGTGGTCTAGCCTTCAAATTCTTTTTCGTTTTATGGGTCTGAACGAAAAAATTGCTGAAAAACTCTGTTTTGGCAGGCGGGCCTACAAATTCTTCATAATTTCATCGCAATGGAGGAAACAATCACAATGAAGGTTCCAATTTTTTCCTGTACACTTCCTGATAATGATGAAGTTTGTTTACAAATCCATTCCTAACATCATGGAATAGGGTCTGGTTTTCATGAAAAACGGTTCGAAAGTATGTTAAATTGGAGAGAGTTGTCAACAAAATTTTCTGAACGATATTTATCGTTAGTTAACAGATTGTGAAAAGAATTTAAAAATTACCCTCATTTTCATTTTACGGTGACAAGTGACCATACTTTTATTTTGCACCAAAATTTTTGGAAATGATACATTATAAATTAATTTTTTTCCGACTTCGATGATCAAGTCTTGTTCAAAAGCTGGGAGGTTGCACATTTTACGTCCGCAGCAGATCTATCTCCTGAATGATTGAAATTGAGTGATTTCATTCAACATCAAACTATAATTCCATTTTAATTGAGAACAAAATTTTGTTCTGCCTTCTGAAACATAGAAATTCCAACACTTTCGGGACAAATGTAAATGATCTAGGATATATTTGTTGACCTCAACGACTACCAAGACGTCACCACTAGCATCGATGGAAACCTCTAGTTGAAAAGACAGTTTTTTTCTCTTCAGCTTCCACTGCGAAAACAAGCAGTTGACTGGATTGTGAAAGAAATCTCTGAATGAAAAAGGGGAATTGTCTTGCTCACTTCTCAACTAAAAACTGTTCTTAGTCAGATCAGCTAAATTAAACTCAACCTTTTTCTCTTGTGAAATAGGAAGTACAAAAAGTTGAAATTTGAAATGGGTTTAACAAATTGATTGAGATCGGTAATGAATGCTACTATTTCAATATCTGGTTTCTAATCTCTACAAACCTCCTTATATTTGACTTGTTATTGGTACCGATAATAAAATTCTCATTCGAATGATTTTATTTTGTATTGTTATATGGATAGACAAGGACTTTTGATCAGTATACCGGTATTTTGCCTGTCTGCTAAAAAATTGTTTCTGGTAAATGATTTTCAATTTCACTGTGAATAGTAGGTTTGTTTTTAGACCAAACCATTTCTAAGTACAGGGTGGGGCACCGAAAACGAAACAGATCAAATATTTTTTGGGAAAGAAAGTTTTTGGTTTTCTACTACTCCATCTGATACAGTAGTAGAAAGCCAAAAAACTTTCTTTCCCAAAAAATTAATCACTCCTAAAAATATAACCCTTTCAAATCAGATCAAATATCTTCAAAACACATACTTTTTGAAAAAAATGCAAAAATACGTCGATTTGTAATCCAAGGGAGACATCTTTCTATCATAACCACAACTGCCGTACCTCTTTCCCCACCTCTCGGTCACTATTACCCAAACAATTTGAATAGGGAAAGTAGTGAGTGTGACATATCATTAAAGAGGATAATTCCATAAGGAATTCTGTCATGTCAATATTTGCCACCTAGTTTTCTATTTTGGCGCCCTCTTGCGTGAAAAAATTGTTCGGTATCCCAAATTATGAGACTTCATTTGCAAGTTAATTGGACATGAATTAGGTAACAATGCATTATGGAATTTTTCTTAGGGAAAAACAGAATGGCGGCTCCACAATGGCGGACCAGATTTTCAATTATGGTCCGATTTGATTCAAAATTGATAAGTGGTGTTTTTCAGGGTCGGAAATTATGGTTTATTTGTCAATGCAAAAAACAATATGGTGGCTCCGAGAAGGCAGACGAAATTTTTAATTTATGGTCTGATTCCAATCAAAATTAGTATGAGGGGATTTTCAGGGTAGGACGGTATTCGTAATTGAGGTTCGATTCGATTCAAAATTGGCAAATGGGGGTTTTATTTGGTTCCCAGTATGACTAAAAAGAATTCATTGAATTGGCGAAAAAAAGCTTTTATACAAACGCGATAAAAATAAAAATATATATATTTTTTGATGTGTGACGTAGGTTATTCTGTGCGTAACAGAATCTGAATTCCTTATGGAATTACCTTCTCAATGCTGTATCACACTTAGTAATTTCCCTATTCAAATTGTGTGAGTGACCAAGGGGTGGGGAGAGAGGTATAACAGTTGAGGTTATGACAGGAAGATGTTCCCCTTGGATTTGAAATCGAAAAATTTTTGCATTGTTGTCACAACAAATGTGTTTTGAAGAATTCGTTTTGGGTGCCGGGTCGAATCGAACCATAATTACAAATTTCGCCCGCCATCTTGTTTTTACATTGACAAAAAAATTATAATTTTAGACCCTGAAAATCACCACTTATCAATTTTGAATCAAATCAGACTATAATTGCAAATCTTGTCCGCCATTGTGGAGCCGCCATTTTGATTTTTCATTTAGAAAAATTCCATAATGCATTTTCACCAAATTTATGTCAAATTAGCGTGCAAATGAAGTATAATAATTTGGAATACAGGACAGTTTTTTTTCAAGCAACAAGCAACATGAAATTACCTTTTCAATGATATGTCACACTTACTACTTTCCCTATTCAAATTGTTTGGGTATTAGTGACCGAGGGGATGGTGGAAGAGGTAGGACATTTGGGGTTATAATAGAAATATGTCCCCCTTGGATTACCAATCGACGTGTTTTTGCATTTTTTTCAAAAAATATGTGGTTTGAAGATATTTGATATGTTTCCTTTTCGATGCTCCATCTTGTATACCTAAGTTTGAAAAAGTTGAAAAAAAATATAAGTTATTATGATTGCGTAACCTAACTTTGTTTAATAATAACTCTGGTGTGGTTTCACTCCACCTTTCCACACTTTCTCAGTTCAGGAATCGAATAAACTTTCCAAAAATGGGGAGATAGCAAAAATGTTGATGGTTTGTCATTTCATCATGGCCAGTACTAAACTTTTTGGGATTATTCAGTATACAATACTGTAAAGAAGATACAGTTGAAGAGAACTTATAAGAATATCGAATGATATTGCGAAATACGTTCCATAGAAAAATATGTGCATTATATTTGAATGAACATGTTTAGGAAAATGGCCTCTTTCACATATCAGAACACTTCCGATGTAACTCGAACAATCATTTCAGAATTATTTTATTCATTTTCAGGTACAGTTGCCGTCTACCAAATGTTTTCGATGATGTTACTGGCGAGGTTTCCCATTAGTTTCCTGAATTGGTTTCTGTTGGGAACAGGTGGAGGAATTCTGACAGACTTCATCCAGATTATTTCTATATCCGTCACCGACTCAGACATAGATGGAGCACTTATTTATTTTTTAACAGGAACTCTTCTGATAGTGGCACAAATTTCCTTGACTTTGGGAATGAAATACACGAAATTATATGTCTATTATTCGGAAGACACCGCAGCAGATGAAAGAAGTAAAGATAACAAATTTTCTTGGTCAGAAGTGAAAGACGTTGCGAAGGATGTATGGCCTCCTGGTCTTATTATAGCTATGATACTGTTTACAATGACTTGTGTTCATCCTTCAATTACAAGCTTGGTGATGTCTCAACATTATTTGGAGAGCACTTGGGGAAGTGAGTACTTTATTTCCATTGGTCACTATAATTCTATTCACCAATCACTAGAGTGAGGAAATCTTTCATATTTAGGTGTGGGTAACTACTTTCAGAATTGTTGATTCAGATAATGCTTGATATATTTTTGACCATTGTGATGTGAAATTATTTTGATATAAATATTAATCTAAATCGGTTACTTCATATTTCAATCCAGTTAGTGGTGGTTTATATTTGAGAGAAGTCTTATTATTTTCACTTCCTTTTATGCAACCGTTCCTTTCCCATGAAAATCTTACATTTTTTATCGATTTATCATAAAGTAATCACATTTAATATTCATGCTACATCTTTTTGCCGTATTATTTCCTATACTTCTTCAGAGCAGTTGTCTGATCATTTATTCCAAATCTCTGAAAAACACTGTTGGCTCATAATCTTGCTTTTACCCTTCCATTTTATCATAACATCCAATCCATTTTTTTCCTATACGGGTTTCTAGTTGGATGATTTCCATTTTTCTGGATATAATCTGAACTATCTCTAGATTACATGCGTTCTGTATTCCAGGTTATGAAATTCATACGAAACATGTCTCTAACCCTTTGTTGCGACAGTGGAGGTATCTGCTTCAGCAGAGATATATATGAAATCGGGAAAAAATCATCAAGAAAATAGCTGAAAGTAACTAACGAGTAACAAATAAGAAAGATGAGATAATTGGGACACCGAAATTTAGAAATTTTCTTTTTGAATCCTCGAGTTCTCAGAAGGATGAAGATTTAAAATTCATAATTGTTTCTCATGAACTGAAATACACCAACGTATTCTGTTGAAAAATATGTTGAAATCTGTTTTCCGTATTAACCAGCTGTTGCTTCCCTATGAACGACAACTCGCAAAAGTCGAAACTTGTGCGAGCTGAAGACTAACGAGGTCTTACCTTTCAACGTGTGATTCCTAACACGGGTTGAACAATAAGAAGTGGAAATTGATCGTCTGGCCTTGCGTTTTGAACAACCAGTTCACACAGCGGCCGATTGACGAGTGAAGCAAATGACCCACGTCAACCCACCAGGATATCGTACCACCAGGCTACCGTCCTGATTTTTGGAAAATTTAACAAAAAAGTGGCTTCTCGTATGTTTGTGTTGTGTTGGACAACCTGAAAGACGGGACGACTGAAAAGAAAAACCTGGCATTTACCGAATAAACTGAGGATTACGATGAAAAGTATGTTGGTCTAGAATAGCTCGCTATAAGGAGAATTTTTCACATGTTCAGTTTCATAGACCAGAGGAATCTGTGCATCAGAAAACACTACAGGATACGTGAGGAATGCTCGAAATTTTTTATCCTGGTAAATGGTAACAAACGGTTTACTGGTGCCTCTAATAGTTTAGAAATCAAAAACTGTAGAATGAGATTTATTAAATCGATGTCCCATTTCATGTAATTATTACAAGAAGAAGCCAAGTGAATATCAATTATCATAATCAGGTGATCAATAATATACAAACAGAATAAAATACAAAAACATCAAAAATTAATACTAAGTGTTCAAGAGATTACCGCCATTTGATTTCCCTAATTTTTGATGGAAATTATTTGGTTGGATACATATAAAAGCCCAAATTAGTTGTTATCCTTCTGTCTTGGACTAACTCAGTCCAGTACTTCTTGAATGAATATATTATGGTTAGAAGCCGTATCTCTTCCATTGACAGGTTCAACAACAACAAAGAGAAAATCCTTTCGACCAGCCACTTCTGTTTTCTTGATAATAATACTTGCATCTTCTCTCGTTTATTTCTCTTGCCTTCGAAATCTCAATAACATCCATTCGTCCACACTATCCAAGAAAACCTATTTCTGGTGCTCATCTCACCACATCTTCAGCAATAGTGGATATTCTTCTAGACCTCCTCTGCATATCTTTCTGGACACAAAATGAATGAATAGCATATAGAATTTTGTATATTGCCAATTGCACAAAACAGGATCATGCGAAACGTAAAACACTTATTTTTTACACTTGATGTCCTTAACTCTCAACACTATGAAATTTCAAATGAAGTGGACCTGATCTTTCGGGAGTAAAAAAAAAAAAGGGAAAAAACGTTCAGGTTCCGCAGTAGGAGTATAAAGTCGCAGGTCTAGAACAGAGATAACGACCTGCCTAGAGGCAGGTCGTTACAAAAAATCTTTTCAATAGGAAAACTTTACAAATTATCTCTGACATAAATTCCTCACCACATCAGTCCAGGAAGTAACGGAACTACTGACTTCTTTGCAATGCAGGACTCTGCAAACGGTTTCATCAATGAGGCAAGAATAGTTTTAGACTTCTGGCAAAATCTATCAAGATAGAATTCATTTCTTCATTTATACACCCTTGGGAATACCTTTGTTGTCCATCAGGCTCACTTAGAGGACACTGCCATTTTGAATCATCATATGTAGGTAGTAGAGGTGTCGATATCTCTCCCTACGAAGACGCCTTTGATGAGATTGTCAGAGGACTCAATTCTGAAGGTGACCAGTTGCAAATTAGAAACCCACCGCCTAACGAAATTTATTATGTCTTTTACTACTGGACGACTAGATGAATTTCACCAGACAGCGCTGTTTCGACCCACCAAGATCTCATCAGTGCTACTAGACTGAGTCACTCAACAGATACTTGAACGCCCACTCACTTTGGAATCTGATCTGACCTAATCTGTCCCAAAATATTGATAGAGTGACTTATAGTCGTAGAGATGGCGTCAAAAATGGTCAAGATACTTCAAAATGCTGATGCTTTTCAAATAAGATCACGTTTTATTGATGGAAAGTTATGAGTAAGTACTTTTAGTATCGAGATAATCGCCGCTGAGACGCTCGCGAATGTATAACAATTGAGATCTCTGTTTTCTGATAGCTGAAAATGTGTATGTCGGGGATGCTTTATACGCGTCAATAAAACTGCACGGTAACCAGATAATTTCCAAATGAGATTAGATAATTTTCAAATAGAATTCAAGTTGAAAATAAAATGATAGATAATATTTCAAATATAATTCTTTTTCTCAAGGTTAAAAAATTCATATAACTTCATTATCACTTGAATTATTTTTCATATATTTTTTTATATTCAAATTTCAGGAAAATATTTCACTCCAGTCATCACCTTTTTGCTATCCGATATTACCAGCATGGTAGGAAGAATACTTTCCTTGGGAAAAGTGACGGTAAGAGACTTGACGTAATGAAAAGAGATGAACAGGTAGTTAGAGAATTGAATGGATGAATGTTGAAAAATATTCCCTAGTGCCGAATTCGGTATTGAAATTTGTTTTCCTGAACATAATATGATGATGACGCAAACATTGTTTCAGGGCATCAACACATTTTAATAGCATCAAAAGTGAATATGGTGGAATATAAAGAGATTTTTAATGTCCCTATTGATAACAAAACATTTCTGGAACAAAAACCGCCCAGTTTGTCTCAGTTTAACTGAATTTCTTTCTTCCAAGACGGTTTTTGACCAAACTGGCCAATCATCTGTACTTAGTTTGTTGATTGAAAAACACCAGTAAAAAAAACAAGACAGAAATGAATCAAAAACTCTGTTTCTACTCTACTGAAAACAACAAATGTGTAGTCTTTAGCTATTTTTTTTTCACATTCGAATTCTATGTTTAGTAAAATTTCTTTATTATTGCTTTTGATCGGTATTCAATTCGTTCGAAGAAAATAAGCATTGCAAAACAAGATGAAATCTCTTTTATCTGATGTTTTTGAACCAATAAAAATTTTGACAAATTCGAAATTACAAAATATGTTTCATGATTTTGTAAGACTGTCATGTAGCGAATTAGAAAACCTTATAAATCTAGTCAATAGGAACATATCCATGCGGAATACTATCTATATAAAGTTGATATTTTTATTGATGGAAAATAAACTTGCTAGTTTCTTCAGTTGCTTAATTTTCATGATGTCAATTTTTTTACATAAAGTCGCTAGATACAAATACCCAATAACGAGTTTTCAGTTGAACGTACGGAAACAGATACCCTTTTATGTTCCCAAGTTCAGATTGGATTCTTAAATCACAATCGAAACAATCGCAATACTGCTAGTATCCATAAAATGCTTCAAAACTGTCAGTGAAATGTTGCAATTATGATAAGAACGTCAGAGTTTCTGATTTGTTTTTGTTTTGTCCGTTTGGAGAAAAAACCCTCTTTACTGTACCACGTTTATGAGTTTTCCACTCACCAGCCAGAGAAGAAAATATTAGTAATGAATGTGATAATATTATTACCTTGGAATTATTTTATTAGAAAAGTACCTGTAGTACTTATAACATTTACGTAAACTATTTCATTGAACTTCTATTTCGAAAATTACGATTGAATTTTCATTTCAATCATTATTATTTTGATATTCTGCATAAAAAAATATGTCTGATGCCTAAATATTAACAATCAACACTTATTTTTCAGAAATCCAATTATCCCATCTGGATAGGTGTAACGATGATTAGAATGATACTTTCTGTGTCATTTATTATTTTTTGCAATGCCCAACCAAGAAGTCATTTATCGGTGGTTTTTGATAAAGATTGGCAATTTATCCTATTTATTATTATATTCAATTTTAGCGGTGGTTTAATCATGAACGTGTCGTGCCTCAGTGTACCTGGGTGAGTATGAATAATTTTGTCAGAACACTTCTTGATATTCTGTGAAAGAAAGTTTTTGGATTTCTACCACTCCATCTTAATATAGAAAAATGTGGGAATCTTCCAAAGAAAGGAAGGAAGTGATCTATTTTGAAAGAAGAAACAAATACTTTTATATGTACACTAAATTATACAGAAAACAATTTTCCTTACTCAGTTTGTATTCCAAATATTCTTTATGGAATTGAATCAGATGTCATTAACAGGATTTTTACACAATATAATATATGCAGTGTTCAAATGAAAGTATTTGTTTTGAAATAATTATCAATATTTCAACAATATTGTTAGCTGAACTAATTGTACAGTAATGCTTGTCATATTCTTCTGTACAAAATATGGTTTTCTCATAAATTATTCGCCTTCTGTGTCCAGTGCCTCATACTCACATAAAACATGACGAGCTGTCTCTATCCCTCCGTTACATCGACTACACTATTTCGTTCAGGTGCTCTGTGAATGGACATTGTTCAATGGTTAACCCTGAAACGATTATAAGCTGATCCCTGTTAAGTTAAAGTAGTTATTCAGTTCACTTTCATAAAGGTATTTCAGTATATGTTCCTCACTATATTTTTGCCAGTACCCTTCATGTTTTTTTTTCAACAATTTTGCTACTCCCACATCTGATTCAAAGCCTATCCATCGAGTAAGTCGATGATCCGTATCTGACACACTCATCAGCTTTTTTGTTGTAGTGATACCTGATCCTATGGGATAAATGTGTATTGTTTGAGTGGGTAATAATACTTTTCTAATGTTGGTTGAGGACTTCCCTCCTGATGTTTCTCCCGATGCCACCACACTGACTTCAACCATGAACCCCTTTTCCAATCTCCTCCTATGACTTAGTTTTGGGATGCGATGGACATCACATGACCATGAGTTGTTACATCATTACTATGAACCCTCTTTTAACTTTCCGCCTTTGAGTTTACTTCGAAAGCCGCAACGATTCGATAACCTCGGGTCGCACGTCACATGACTTTACACCCGATTTTGGACCTCCTTCTACGACTAGTGACGTCGCATGTCATAAGACCTTGAATGTATGTGCAGTTTCAGCTTGCGCATGCTGGTAACATAGTAAAAATCAACCACTCCGACTACTTTCATTCATTAATTCACAAAGCCGTACGCTCATATAAAAACGAAATTTAGGGTTATTATAGAATATTTTGTGGTAAATTACTTATAACTAACTACAAAAACTAAAAACAATAATAATAACAGCGAATAAACTGAACACAATATCAATTTCCAACCGTTTATTATAACTAATCCGATGTTCGTGGTACCGTCAAATCCTTCGATACTACAGCACTGAGAATCTCATCAAGAGCGGTTGAAGGTCACGTGGTGAGAGAGCCTACTACTGTACTGGTAACTTGAACACAGTAGCATGCTAAAAGACGTTTTCTGGCGCTCATGTATTCAAAACGTATAAAGTATTCATCAGTGATTCAAATAAATTCATTCTGGCGTTGAAACGTATTCATGACGATTCAAAACTAGCGTGAGGTTGGTTTTGAAACGGAATGTGACGTTACGTTACGTCAGTTGTCAGTTTCTGTTTTATTTTGTTGTTGTTGGTCCATATTTTGAATAAGAAAAAGAATTCTGGTAAACCGGTTTCAAAAATGCAGCTACATTTGTAATATTCATGCAAAAAATTGTATGCACCAATTCTGATTGAGATTAAAGAAAATTGAACAGTTTGTAAAAATTCTGGCGAATTTTATCATTAATGACGTCACTATGAATCGTTTTTGAATACATGCTCGAATACGATTAAACGCCAGAAAACACACTAGAGACCAAGTAGTGTCACTATCCCCACTTTTTGGTAATGAATCACAGTGCGTATGAAGGAATCATGAAGGGAAGTTTTGGCATATTAGACTGACTACGTTTGGCTTGTAGTATCATGATAAAGAGAAGTTTTGTTGGGGCTAATATTACCACTTCGCCAGGAATATTCCAAGTTCTGATTTAATTCATATTCTATTCGTATTTTGAAAGATATGAGAATAATGTTCAGAAATAATTGAAAGTTATAAAAAACAACGAAGATGTTACCAATAGGATGAAGTTTGCGAAATGATAGCAAATAGCGATTCCAGCATTTCTAGGTGTGTGGCCAATTTGAAAAAAATGAAGGATTGTATGAGTTGAGAATGTGATATTTTGTAGTTATATTTCTTATTAGCAGATATAAATTTTCATCTAGGGCTTAATGAATGAATAAATGAGTGATTCAATTGAATTGTTTTGTTTTCATTTGTAGCACATTTTCTGGATGTCATTAACCAAACAAAAAATGTTCCAACACTCTTTTCCAACAATACTCAGATTATCAGAAGATTTTTATCAGTTTATTTTTTTGATATATAGTCATTGAATTATATTTTAAACATCATGAAAGATTTATTTGAAAACCATATATAGAATGATATTTGTTTGTCTCATACAGGTAACAGATTCATTGTCCTTCATTAGCTATAACCGATGTAGCCAAATGGTGAAATAGAAACGAATCCCTTTAAAAGTTGAATGCATTATTTCATCCCTTTTTTTTAAGCATTTAAATAATTTTTTAAAGAAAAAGGTTGAAATGGTAAGTTTAAAATGCGTTGTTTTAGAGCTCTTTTATGAAAACTACTTGATTTTCGTCAAGAGGAACATTCTCCGTTCTGATTGTTTACTATTCTGTGCCGCTAGCTACTATGCAATCAAACACGACGCTAAGGCCGGCCGCAATTTGAGACGCAGGTCCGTGAGGTGACGCAGAGTGAGTCACGTTGAATTTCTGCGAACCATACAAATGATAGGAACCCCGCAAGTTCCGACGCAGGGTGACGTGACGCAGTTTTCACGGTCCGTGACCCTGCGTTACGCAGTCCTCCTTTCGCAGATTTCTCGGCGTGTCAAGTAAAATGGAGAAAAAATTAATAGAGGCAGTTAGAAATCGTCGCGTTTTGTACGACACTAGCCATGAGGACTATTTGCGAACAAAATTAATAAGTTCAATATGGGAGGAAGTGGCAAAGGAAAGCGATATGAAGCTAGCAGAAATAATCGATTCAACCTCCTCATCATTTTCTGACTCAGATTCGGAGCTGATATCAATTGAAAGTTCATAAACCAAATCCATTTGAAAATCGAAAGGCAAGAGACACGTCACCTAAGATCTGTAGGCTCAAACTGCGTTTCAACTTGCGGGGGTCTACCCACCCGCAGTTTTCTCTCACCGTGACTCACAATGCGTCACCTCACGTCGTCACAGTGACGTCGTGACGACGTCACTGTGACGTCGTCACTGCGTCGTCTGCAGTGACGCGTTCAGTCTGTAAAAAGACCCAGTGGTAAAAGGACGCACTGTATGTGTCAGTATGCTCTCGACCCTCTGCTATAGCGGTATAGTCGAAGTAAACGATATTGTATAATCTTGAAGTTGGCGGCGCTCTCAAAGGCCAAAAAACCAATACAATTTTTACTAACCGAGTTTTATGATTGGCTGAAGACTCATAAAATCGAATTTGAAGTCATTTCACGGTGACAAATAGAAATCGGGAAATGCGAGGATGATTATCGCCGTCGTGTTCAGTTCAAGAACTGATCGCGATGTGAGTGTTGAAATCCGATATTGGTGCACTTATAATTACTCAAAATTTTTGTTATCTGTTTAAAATGTGGCGTCCTTGGACAAGTACTAATAGTAATAACGAGTGTGATAACAACGCAGATTTTTTTCAAGTGTAGTGATTGCAATAGCGATGGTGAACAATGCGAAAAAGAGATAACAGTGAATAAGTTTGGGATGCATTTGAATATTGAAACACAGAGAGTATGTTTCAATGTATATAAGAATCTACATCTCAAGTGTGGTTTCGAGAGAAACAAACTATTACAAGCAACATCAGATTTGACCGAAATTCCTTTCTCAACTGTACATAAAATAGCTAAAAACAAACCTTATGAACGCAAGACGCGATGTGATACGGGATTACCAAAACCTTTAGATGTTCATCTAATAAAGTCATTGAAGAAAACAATACGCGACTGTTACAAAAGCAATGCGATTCCTACAACTAAAATCATAAGAAATAAATTGAATACTTCCGGCCATAATGTGAGCTGCTGTGACAAAACTCTTCAGAATTGGATTCAGATTCAAAATAATAAACAAAGCGTCAATCAGTTATGGAAAGCAGAAGAATAGTGTAACTGCGTAACAAATACTTACACTGAATAATTAAATAATTAAATAATTACGACAAATTTTTATTTGGACGAAACTTGGTATGACACTCACGACGCAGTTACGAAAGGGTGGACTGATGGTTCGAGAATGTGCACGACTAACATGCCTGCAAACAAAGGATCGCGACTAATTATTGTGCGTTGCGAAGGGAGTAGAGGATGGGTTCGGAATTCTTTGAAATTATGTGGATGAAACTATGATTTCAATTTAAGAGCCACCGGTAGACAGCTGTCTCAGCCTATTGGGCATCGTCAGTACCGGGCAGGCGGTCCTCGATTGAAGACAAAATGAGAAAAACCAATAAAGTACTTGATAAAAATAGCTGCGTAAACGCAAGCGAAACATAAGTGGAACCACCTATTGGTGTGACAACCAAATCAACTTGCCAACCTTTTTTCTACCGGTGGCTCTTAAATTGAAATCAGTATGAAAATGATCAGAAAGTACTTATCTATTTATTTTTTGAATTTCATGGAATTATTTTCCAGCAGCTTGACTGCATTAACCGATTATCGAGTGTGCATGATACAAATCAAAAATGAAACAATTCGTGGACACAACACTCCAAAAAAGGGGGGCAAACCGTGGACACGTGTTTCTGGCTATTGGCCTCATCAGCATGGCATTTGAATGTCATTTGAAACCATTTACCTGTTGTATAATTATCATGCTGGGAGATGATTACAAAAAAAGGGAT